GTCCCCAAGAAAGTGATGAGGGTATTGGGGGGAAGTTGTCCTCTCTTGTATTATATGACCCCAGCAGACCCCAGGGGCCCATTTCTGAAAATTGTTGAGACCAGACCCTTGATTTGAAATATCATAAGCGTTTTGATCACAAGTACATCTCAGTTTTAAGATCTGTGATGAGGCTGGGCTCAGTGACTCAGCCTGTCATCCCAGCACTTTGGGATGCCAAGGTGAGTGGATTGCCTGATCCCATGAGTTCAAGACCAGCCTGGGCAACTTGGCAAGACCTCGTCTCTACAATAAATGAAAAAATTAGCTGGGTGTGGTGGTGCACACCTGTAGTTCTGGTTACTTGAAAGGCTAAGGCAGAAGGATCGCCAAAGTCCAACTCGTCACTACTGGAGTGGCTGTGAGTGTGCCACTACACTCTGACCTGGCGACGGAGTGAGATTCTTACTCAAAGATAAAAAAAAAAAAGATCTGTGATGTTTCATCTCTCCACAGAGGTCTCAGAGCTCTGTGATTTTATTGTGGTGCTTATGAAAAGATATCAGACTCTATTAAAAAAATTGAAGGTGGTTTATTCTTTTTTTGTTTGTTTGTTTTGAGTTGGAGCCTCACTCTGTCACCCAGACTGGAGTGAAGTGGCTGCTCCCAGCCACCGCAGCCTCGACGTCCTGGGCTCCGACAATCCATCCGCCTCAGTCTTCCAAGTAGCTGGAACTACAGGCATGCACTACCATGCCCAGCTAATTTTTTGGTTTATTGTAGAGATGAGGTCTCGCCAAGTTGCCCAGGCGGGTCTCGAACCCGTGGGCTCAGACAATCCACTCACCTCGGCCTCCCAAAGGTGCGGGATTACAGGCGAGCCACCGAGTCTGGCTGGTCTATACTTGAACCGAACTTGGGGACTTCAGCCCAGGTACACCTATCCCCAGGATTTTCTGAAAACGTGTGGTCCAACAGTGTCTGGGTTCTATGCTGTTTAAGGAAGGTGGAAATTGAAAGAAACCACAAATCAATACATGTGAGATTCTCATTGGGTGTCCAGGGGAGGAGGACGGGATTTTCATGCGGTGACTTGCA